TGGTTGACTTCGTGATAGCAGCCATTCCTCCTAGGGTGAGATAAAATCTCAGCATTGTTTTCATTTGCATCTTTCAAATGACCAGTGATATTGAACATTTTTTATATGTTTATTTGCTATTTCTATTTCTTTTTAAAAATTATTTGTATTGGTACATTTAATGTATAAAATAGAATGACATTCATTTTTGGACATTCATTTACATAATCAATCTTGGTTCTTACTTTTTCCCCATTCCCTTGTCCTCCCTTCAACCTCTCCCTCCCGCCCTCCCTATCTACAAAGACTTTTCTCCCATTATTTTTCATTTTATCATATTGATTCTATTCCCTTCTTTCCTTTCCTCTACTCATCCCATTTCCCCTTCCTCTTTGTCCCTTTTCTTCTTATTACACATTATGTATTATACCTTTTAATCCTTATTTACACTTTCAGTTTCTCACTAGAGAAACTATTCAGTATTTACACATGTCCTATTTATATCACTTAAGAGTATGGCCTCAAAGTGCATCCATTTAGCTATAAATGTCTCTAGTTTCTCATTTTTATGGCTGAGTAGTACTCCATTTTAGAAATAAACACATTTTCTTTATCCAGTCTCCAGCTGATGGGCAATTGGGCTGCTTCCAAGTTTTAGCTATTATGAATTGTGCTGCTATATACAAAGAGTTCACATATATCACTGCAATATGACTACTTTATTTAGGGAAAATACCCAGCAGAGGAATAGCTGTGTCAAATGAGACTTCTAGTTCTAGTTCTTTGATTATCTCCATACTGATTTCCACAGTGGTTGCACCAGTCTACACTCCCACCAGCAATGGAGCAGGGTTCCTCTTTCCCCACAGCCCCTCCAGCATTTGTTATTGGTTGAGTTCATGGTAGCAGCCATTCTTTCTGGGGTGAGGTGAAATCTCAGCACTGTTTTCATTTGCATTTCTTGAATGATCAGTGATGTTGAACATTTTTTTTCATGTTTATTTGATATAACTACTTCTTTGTCTGAGAAATGTGTGTTCATTTCAGATGCCAGTTTTTGGACTGGATCTTTAAATTTGGGAGGTCTGCTCTTTTAAAGTTCTTTATATATTCTAGATAGTAGACCTTTGTCTGGGGAACAGCTGGTGAAAATGTTTTCCCACATTGTGAGTTGCTGCTTCACATTGCTGGTCATTTCTCTTGCTGTGCAGAAGCTTTTTAATAAGAAGACATCCCACTTGTTGATTGTGTTCATCAACTAGTTGATTGCTAGTTCATGGGCAACTGAGGTTTTGTTCATAAAATCTTTTCCTACACTAGTGTCTTCAAAAGTTCTATCTAGGGCCGGCGATTTAGCTCAGCGGTTCGGTAGCCTGCCTTGCAAGCTCAAGGACCCGAGTTCCATTCCCGGTACCCAAAAAAAAAAAAGTTCTACCTAACTTCTCTTCCAGCTGGTTTAGTGTTTCTGAAAAACCCTCTTTTAAATAGTTGTTATTTTAGAGCAGTTTTAGATTCACAGAAAAATTAAAAGAAACTGTAATGAGTTTGCATGTCTCCCTTGTCCCCACCTGCACAGCTTCCCAACTATCAACTTCCTGCAACAAATAGTACATTTGTTATGATCTATGAGACTACACTGACAACTTGTCAAACTCTATAGTTTACTTTGGGGCTTCCTCACGGTGCTATACAGTCTATGGACTTGAACAAATGCATACTTTCATGTAGCCAACCACCATCATAATGCTGTACAGAAACATCTCGTTATTCTAAAAATCCTCTGCGCTCTGCCTAATCATCCCTCCATCGTCCCACACTTCTGGAGATCACTGTTCTGTTTACTATCTCTATAGTTCTGCATTTTCCACAAAGTCCTGTGGTTGGAACCACATAGCATATAGCCCTGTCTTTTTTCAATTAGTAGTACGTATTGAATGTTCCCATGACTCTTCATAGCTTGACTGCTCATTTCTTTTCAAATACAATATTTCTACTGCCTGGATGTGTCACAGTTAATTTATCTATTTACCTAATAAAGGGCATCTCCATTGCTTGCAAATTTGGCACTTGAGAACAAATCTATGCTGAACATCTATTTGTAAATTTTCCATTCAGTTGGGTAAGTATTGAGGAGTATAATTACTGGACCACAGCATAAGAATATGCTAAGTATGTAAGAAACTGGTAAACTGTCCCTTGCCTTTTAAGGCACTGCCCAGCCAATTGGGCCAGGATGCATTGACTTCTTTTTTTTTTTTTTTTT